AGAGGTAACATGATGAACACTGTAGTTAATATTTACATAGAACATGATCATCTAATTGGAAAATATTACCCTTGAGATTAAAGGAGAGTCACACAGTCGTCTGCTTCAATCATTTCGGATCATGTGTCGGCAGATTAAAGACGGTGCCGTGTCACATACGTCTGTTTTTGATGGAATATGTCTTCACTGACAGGAGCTGCAGAAGGCCGTCACTTGCTTGGCTGGATTTGTTCACTTTTACCAGGAGGGTTTTTCCGAGGCCAGAGAACTATTCATGTGAGAGTAAAGCCTCCCTAACACAACACTCCATATACAAACTGTACAAATTAAATCACAGATTTTTGTTAGTTTGCCTAAAACAAATCCATGCACAATAACTCCTTGAACAGTACAGGTGAGTTGGACCCCAGAGAACTCATCCTCCTCTACCCGGACATGAGGTCGTGTCTCGGCAATGACTTTGAGTCCCAGTTTGATCAGGGGAAGAAGAAGGGCAGGGCTCTCCAGGTGCTCTGGTGTGAGGACACAAACATCTTTCATCACTACCTGTCCTTCCTGGGAGATTTTCTCAGAGCTGTCAGGGGGACAGAGCAAGACTCGGCCTGCAGTGCGGAGGTGGACTGCGCCCTCCTGAGGCTGTACGTAGGACTGGGAGACACTGAGAAGCTGCAGCAGCTCGTTATTTCTCCCAATGAGTGCAGGCTGGATCACTGTGTTCCTGCTCTGGAGCAAAACAACAGGTGAAAATAAACAATAAGCTTTGTTACATAGATGAGCTGTAATCACACTATATAATTTGCTCAGTGCACAGATATGAAATAGTTTTCAGAGACATTCTTGTTCAGTGTTTGATACATGTTTTATTGTTTTCAACCATTTCTGATGGATCATTTCCTGTTTGATCTTTTTCTATTTTAAGGTTTTTTGTGTTAGGTTCCCTCTATCAAAGCCACGGGAGGTCAATTGATGCAATAAAGGTGAGTGAAAGGTAATACTCTACACGTCTATATTAACTCCATGTTGAAACGTGTGTTTTATCTTGTTTCATTCTGTCAGACTTGGGTAAATATTGCAGACGGCTCCCACAGAGACGACTCTTGCTCAGATGTGTATGGACACATAGTGTGGACGCTCAGTCAGCTGGAGGACAAAGATATTGTGAGGAATTTTGCAGAATGGACTCTGCAAAAAAACCAAGAGGTGCCTATTTTTCATTTCATGCAACGATTTCTTTTGGGGTATTCATTCTAAAATTGTATTTTTATTAGGAGGACATGAAATCTTTCCTTTGTGTTATGATCCATCTTCACTTGCTCTGACATAGTAACATCTACGCTTCTGAAGAATCCTCACAACCTTTATATAGAGACCAAGAATATTCATATAGACCCTGTAGGTGCAGAAATATACTCTATTCTTTTGTGCATGTAATTTTTTTTCGAGCAGGGGCCCGAGAAAAGGTCAGATTTAAAAAGGTTAATGCTCTCAAGCTGACTGCAGAGGGCAGAGTTGCACAGTACAGCTGGATTCAAACACACAGCAAAACACCACCCACTCCATCATATTAAGTAATTATGGGGAAATTATGGGCAATCAAATCACAGATGACAGTATTTCTTTGTTTGAAAAAGATAGGTGTGCAGATTTTCACCAAGCGCCAGCCAGATGATCGACTGGAGACACAAGAGGTCTTCATTCTCCTGGAGAAATATCCGCTGGCATTGGTTTTGTATCTTGAGTTCTTGATCCATGATTTGAGCAGTGAGGTGGGTACAGCAGCAGCCACTTCATCGAACACCCTGAATCTTTTATTGGTGATAACAATTGGTTGTAATCTTAGGAGGAAAGACATCACAGCCGTCTGGCCTTGGCATATGTTACTCAGACGCTGCAAGAGGAAGAAGAAGCAGATTTGAGGTCGACCAGGGGGAAGTTGCAACATCTGTTATGGGAATCCAAATTCTATGACGTCTCCAATGTATATGGTGTGTGGACATCTTAGAGGAACATAAAGCATTGGAGAATCTTCCACAAATTACAGTAGGAGTCTTTTTTTTTCATTGCAGAGAGAGTCAAGTCAACGACCCTGCACATAGAGACAGCCATTCTCCTCGGCAGGAGCGGGGAACACTCCCAGGCCCTGCAGGTGCTTGTTCACCGCAAGCGAGACCCCCAGGCTGCAGAGGCCTACTGCTGCAGGGCTGCCCAGGGCCACAACGCTCACTTCAGACAGGCCCTGCTGCTCACCCTGCTCCAAATCTACCTGAGCTCCGAGGATCCCACCAGCACCTCGGTGGATCTGCTGAACAATAACTCTCAGGCCTTTGCAGCGGAGAAGGTCGTCCAGCTCCTGCCCGACTCCTGGTCTGTTCAGCTCGTCTCCCGGTTCTTGGTCGGTTCCGTCAGGGCAACGCTCCACCAGAGTCGCATAGTGAAGCTGCAAAAGGCGCTGGCCCGGGCGGAGCTCATGCGGCACAAGGTCACTTGGGTGAGTTAAATAACATGATCTACATTTACTGCAGCAAACATTGTGTTTATTCTTGTTTTCCTGAACCCTTCCCTCTACAGATGCAGGCCTCAAAAACAATCTTCAGACTGGACAAGGAGCAGAAGTGTAAGGTTTGTCAGCGAGTCCTTGCCGAGCCACAGTTCGCCTGTAACCTGCACGGCGAGCTGATGCACGTTGGCTGCACTGGCTTTTTTTAGCATCGCAAAGACACCGATCGCCCAGTCTGTTGCCTGTTCATGCACATTATGTGTTCCATTGCACTCCTGAGAATCACATTCATTTCAAGCTGGTTAAGTGTCTGCTTCTTACCCGATGATTTTTCTAGATTAGACCGTGTCATCTAAGCAAACTCCCGTCAACGGTTCAATTCATGGAACTGGGACCAGACAGGTTCCCTAATTAGAAAAAAGAAAATACATAGTGTAAATAACTGGTTTCAAAAATGTGAAAGAGCATGCATTGCACTTTTTCAGGGCGGCATGTCTGAGCTTTTTCCAAGAGACACTGTAGACAGCAATAGCTATAAATTGGATTGTGGAGGACACTCGGGGACATACTGTATATTCACTGATCGGACTGTGGTGTTTTACATGGAAACCACCCGTGGTTGCCCCGATGACCAGAGGGAATTTGACCATCCTCCAGTGCTGTATATACGCATCCCCACCATCATGGTTTCCACTGACTGTGTATATTTGTCTGCGTGGAGCAGGAAATAGAAAGTCAACATGCTGCACGTGAGATTTTTTTCCATTCAGCCTGTGCATTAATATACATTTAAGAGCAAGAAAAGTAAAAAGGTCAGAGTACAGAGATTTTAATCATTTCTATACTGTGGACTTAGTTCACATGCAGCCAAATGACATGTGTACTTTGAATGAAATATGAAATCTGAGGCAGTTTTTATTTTTCACCAACATCGTCCCTGTATCATTATCACAGACGTCTATTCCCAATAATCAAGCACAAACTCCACTGTCCACATATACCAACTGCAAATAAAACTTAAACACAAGTCGTTAGTTGGATGACAGTTGGAGTCGAGATATATTTGTTTGCGTCTGTCAGAATGTAGAGACTCGGAGCTAACCCCAACTGTTTCTTTATACTGATGCATTTTGGGGCAAGAGCTGCGGAGACGCCTGAGGGGACTGGAGCAGCGACTTGGCTTGACTGCTCATAAGTTTTCGGCCTGGGGTGAGAAACTAATTGCACTGTAGATAAATAGTAAATTATGAGTCTGTTGGATGGGATTATCTCTTTGTGATGCTGCTGCCAAGCTTTCTTGCTAATGAGGTTTTTGTTTCCCACTGAGGGCAGAGGACAATCAGGAGCTGTGTTCACATGTCTCGGTGCGGTGAAGCCTTTCAAGGGCATCACTAGGATTAAATCTCATTATATTTCTCACTGTATCAATTTAACCTGAGTCGTATAAATAAATAGAACCATATGCGAGAAAACCTCAAGAAGAAGTTGCTCTTCTTTTATGTGGTTGCAGGAGAATTGCACACTCCTCCATACCGCCTCCTTGTAATTTTGATAATCTGCTTCTCATTCAATCTCTTGTGGAATAAACCAGTGTGAAGAAAAGCACGAGGCATCAACTCCTCTCTTGCTTGTACGAAGAGAGCCTCTCACAGTTTATATGGCTCCACTGTGAGGCCTGCTGCTTGGCGACAGCCTGAGCCCCGGGCCGGTTCCTGGTGACCGGGGGCCACTGGGTGGACCTTGGGGCCTGAGATCATGTCCACTTCTCTCCTCTCTGGGACGTCCTCAGGGAACATTAATGTTGTTTTGAATGCTTGAGGTTACGCTGCGCCTAGAAAAATGTTTTTCTAATCTTTGAAGTTGACCAACAAGACAGAATAACCAAAAGGTAAAAATAAGTAGACACAAGTACAAATACACCTCTCAGCATTTGGTGCATTTGAATTTTTCTTTTCTCATGAGTCCCTGATGAATGTAACACTCTTGAATGCTGGAGTCTAGGGCCTGAGACGGCCTGGACTCAGTGGGGTGCTGGCCAGATGGTCATTTTACACATGAGGGGAGTGGATTGGATGCAAAAGTCAACAGTTGGAGGGAAGTATGGTGGGTATCCAGACATTGGTCTCCCATTATAAATATCCCCGTGACCACAGAGTCCGTGCTAGGAGGGAAAATAGGAACATTTTCTTCCTATGCTCGTCTAAATTTAAGGAAAAAATGTCTGCTGTCTGGACTGTAGGACGTAATTGTTTACATGTTAGCATAGTTTTACATGCAGGGAAGGAAACAGTTATATGAGATGCATAGAGCCTTGTTTGCTTACACAGTATGTTATATGAGATTCTCCAAAATATATATATACATAACGTTGGTTTATCAGTTTTAGACTTCACTGTGAATTCACTGAGAATTATATATAATTGTGATTTTGAAGAGATGACATGTTTCAGATGTCTGCTCCAGAAAATGATACAGTACTTGAGTTTAGGCGCAGAGACCACAGCTATAAAGCATGGTTTAACACATTGAATTTTATATGTTTTATAGCAGTGAGTTTTATAATTAGATTTCTCTGGGATCAGACTGACCTTACGTTAGGTCACCGTGAAGAACATTACATTTACATACATGTATTTTATGTTTACTTGTATTTCTTTCTCAAATAATGTTTTGCAAATAAAACTAATTGTACACAATGATATCCCATATAACATGTGAAAATAAAATATTTATGTTAAGTGTAATAATTCAGCTTTAAGGTATTTCCTGCAGTATTCACCACCTCACTGCATTCGACATTCGAGATGGAGGATGAGAAGACATAAGATATTTAAATGAAAACAAGCTTGATTTCACAATTAAGTAACACGAGAACGGCCACAAGAAAGACAACGTTAAACCACAAGGGGCAAAAATGTGTGGTTTTAATAGTCACTACCTTTAAGTCAATTATTTTTAATCACAAAGTTTTATGGAGATGTGTTTTCCACTCTTTGGCACCGACTCTAAAACAGCTCATGGAAAAAATGCTGCCTCAAGATCATGAAAATTGCAGCAGGTACCTCAGTAAATAAAGCCTTTGGGAAAGATGAATACACAATGCTTCTCTATGCATCGTGCATCATATTTATAGTCAAAGCCACAAATTACTGTATCATGTCCCTCGTGACGCATTTTTCAGTCTTTTAGTGGTTGGTGAAAGACAAGGAGAATCTTAATTTGCAACCCTTTTGGTAGCAATAATGGTAAGTTAGTAGAAAACCTAAGCGATTGAACTTTAATTCCCACTTTCCCCGGCAATACTAATTCTGTAGATATAGCAGAACAAGTATGGGAATAAATAGCCGAAGAGGATGATCAAAGCGCGTCTTATTTTAAACTCTTACAGCAACACTCTCATTTTCATGACTTGCTACCTTGGGGTTTGGCAGAATGCCACTGGGAGAAAAGCGTAGGGTGGCCCACAGGAGACACACAGGGCCGAGACAGTGACCACAGACACCCACCCTGCCCTGATCCATGGAGGCACGGGTTATATACATCATACTGTATCCTATAGAGTCAGATCACATCTACAGGGCAACTATTGTTCACTATTCACCGCCGTCAGTGCTCAAAACAGTTTGTTTGACGGGATGTTTTAATGGAGATTTATGCTTTAATTATGAACATAAGTGGCACTTTCAGAATAAATAGCATTAGTGCAAAAATACCATCTATTTACCTCCAGATAACTAGTTTTCGAAAACAAGTAAGTTTTATTATTATAAATGGTGCCTGGGGATTGTATGAAAATTATTGGGTGGGAGAAGGTGGTCAGAGAAGAGAGGGTAGTTTGACTTAATGGGGGAACATGAAAGTTGTTATTTTCCCATATTCACATTTTAATCACTTTTAAACACACCTACATGGAAGGTTGTGCATGCTCATCTGCTCAACTTTGATTTTATCGCACACACTTTACTGTCGGTTCTCCGGCAGTTTGACACTTGGGAGCAGCAAAAACAAGTTGATTTGTTGAAGCATCATTAGTAAACATTTGCTTATTTACAGATATTTACACATCAGAGTTACATTTCTGGCCACCTGATGAATAAATGTCCAGTATTTAATTTGTTTTTGCTGTGTTTTTTGTCTCCATCACCTCCTGAGGGTTCACAAACCAGTTGCAAGCTGCGTCTGCTGATTTGTGCTGGTCAGGTTGCGTACAATTTTTTTGTGGGGGGTGGAGGTTTGAATCTGAAAACGGCTTCTTGCTTCTGTGGAAACCAATTCTACAAGAGTGATGAGCTGCAACAAGCTGGAATTAACTGGAAAGCCTCATAAAGCTGGGGTGCGTTAGAGATTAATTTTAATGAATTTAATTACACTTAAAGCTCCCATATTGTAGAAGGTGGAGGCAGATTAAAATAGAAAGAAGAGTGAAGTATTATGTTCAGCTAACCTTAACCTGCCAAGGTAATTTTCATGCTGTTCTCCAGATGCGTCAAAGTTCCCATTTTTCATCAAACTGCCGTCAATCTCAAAGAAGTATCAAACTTCATTTGTTTCTCTGCCCCAGACTCAGCCACAAATAGATTTATTCCTTAACAGTTTAAAGAGGCATTAACATAACTGTACTGCATTTGACTAATGACTGATTTTAAATGAGGTATGAGGTCTAAGTTTTGGAGTTTTTTTTGGCAACCTCATGCTCTTTTCTAGGAGTGAATTTCAGGGGAAGAGTTAAGTACTCTGTACAAGCTGTCTACTTGTGGTGGTCCACCTGATATGTTATTTTTCTTTTTCTTTTTTGATGTGGAGACTTTAGCAGCTTTCGTCTTTGGACCATTTGGATTTCTTGGAACATAAACGGAACCTGCTTGGAAAAATTTACTTCAATGTTACATACAATTTTGTGTAAATCAATATAATGATCTATATTTTAAGCAGCACAACATTCAAACAGACAGATTAGATCTCCTCATCTTTCGTTAGAAATGAATTCTAAACAACCAAACATCTTATCTACAAATGGCCCCATTTATATTTATTTTCTTGCACATCTTAGCATCCTTTTGCCTTTGAAGAAAGACGTCTATTTAGCAAACTGTAGGTGATAAAAATATTATTGCCTGACCCGTGTGAAACAAACAATTAAAACTCTGAAGAGGCAGAAGGGATGGGAGCTTGGCACCGCAGGATCCCTGAGCTCTATCTGAGAGCCTCATGCGATGTTTGACGTCACTGATTACAGAGCATGTGCCGCACGTTACTGTTACTGTACGCTGGGAAAGTTGAGACCATAGAATCACGCATAATTAGACATTTAGCGCCAATCCTCCCCACAGATGTACACACCCTTCACCACAACAGATAGGCCAGGAGTTAAAAATGGCCCCTGATATCAACCACTGGAGGCAGAAACTCCCTCCGTCTGCTTTCTGAGAGCAAGCGTTACTGTAACCCGCACAATAAAGGCCCCGGGGGAGAGAAATTCAATACTAACCCCAAAAAGGCCTCGTTTATCCATTGAGCTGAAGCATCTGCAGAAGTAATCTTAAGTATTGTATTTGCAGCCGAAAAAGTGCCATGAACTACCCTGAACTATCACAAACTATCATAAAGTCAGTCAAATTAGAGGTATATTGTTTTTAGCATAGAATTACAATTCTATTTCTACAGATCGAATATCTCTGGGAGCATCGAGCGCACGGCTTTCATTGAGTCTTTCATGAACTTTAACTACCACGGAGCGCAGAAGAATGGAAGGATTCTCTGCTGACGTGAAGCTGCACGACATCTCTGCACTTTGTGGTTTCATGAACCAACACTTACCCGTACTTGAGAGTATTTCAAGAGTTCCTGAGCATCAACATCTAGAAAAACGTGCAAATAACAATTACCACAGCGTACAAGATGTTTTCCAAACAATATGTACACAGGAAAAAAATTATATGTATGTTTTTGACTAAACCAAATGAATTTGTGTGACCTTTTCTCTCCTTTATCAGTTAACTTGAAACCAGTTGTGCACAGTAACGACTGTAGGTACATTTGAGTGTTTCCGTGTCTCAGGGAGTCGTACTGCATGTATGTCAAAGTTGTATGAAGCCGTTTGTAGCTTCAGAGGAAGAAGCACGGAAAAAATTAAAAGATTATGATTTTATAAAAGCATCTGTTGAACTGTGCGCCAAACAGGAGTGTTTCAAGGGTCAAGCCGTGGTCACCTATGGCAGCTGCAGCGTGCCCAAATTACAGAGCACAATGACTCACACTCTTTCTGTGTTTAAGACCACTCTGCCTCGGGACGGGACAAGCCGTCACAGTAAAACAGGCGCTGCACACAGAAACTGTTGGCTCATCACAAAAACAAACTCTTTGTTCTGCTTTGCAGCATCGGCCATGCAGACCACCTGGAAGCATTTATTATTTCTGTCATCTTACGTTGATCAGCTCGAGGAGAAATGCTTTGAATTTTACACACAGGAAGAAAGAGGCCACGCTGGTGCGTTTATGAAGTGTATGACAAAGCAATAGAACATGACGACCCCCCAAGAAGCTCTTCAGAATTTCATTGATAAATTTACATCACCGTAGTTTTATTTGTGTAACGCTGCTGGCTCACATGCATCATTTAAAAAAATCCAGCTAGAATTCAGTCCATTAAACACATCGGCCTTAACCTTTCCACAAAAAGCCTTTCATTAAGAAGTGCATGTAGAAAGCTATAGAATTACAAGGGTGCACATCATCTTGAATGCCAGCATTTCCTGCTAAAAAAATGGACGGGGGTTAATGGCTCATTTCAAATAAATTC